TTAGTCAGTTGCATTACATCTCTAATAATTTTTGGCCATACCTTCACATAAAGTTTCGTATAAGAGTGCAATATTAGCACTCAACAGATTATCTGTTACACCTTTTTAGCAGTGTTGCAAAAACCAGTCATTTGCCCTGGCTAAATTTCATGTATGTGAAATTTCAACTTCCCAATTAATCTGTTTAATTAATGATCTTTGACATTGAGATTTGGCGATGTACTTATGTGTAATGGTCCGCTAACTGAAAGAGAAAAAAAGAAATAGCGGAAAAAAGAAATAAATGTGGTAGAGGGCAGCGATAATTGGTTTCTGACAGCAGAGCGCCTCTCATCACTTCCACTTCTTTCATTCCTTTTATTATTCCCACATTAACATCGCTCTGGCAAAGATAAACTACCGTGAATCAGCGATAAATTTCCAAATTTTCATAGCCAAAAGGAAGACTGTTTTTAAAGACTTCACAGTTCGCTGGGAGAGATACCTTAGTCTGCGATCACCAACCAGCCCTCTCCCCCAATCACTCTTCCATCACTGCCTGATAAAAGCCGCCTTTTTTCATGTCTTCCTCCGATGGTTACCAATACCAACAATAAGCATACACACACACACACACACACACACACACACACACACATAGGAACAGATTCAATGTCCATCCATTTGCGGTCCAATCATATTCACCTATTTCGGGATATAATTCGGGATATAAGCTGATACCAGAGTAGTGAGCTATCCGATAAGGGTACTTGGTAAAGGCCAGTCCCGGCAGCATCGGGTGATCTTAGTAATTCTCTTTGCTTTGAGGGTAAAACTTGGCTACTTTGTAGGGATGAAAATTTATGCAATAAAAATCGTTACTTACCATTAATTATTTATGGAAAAATTAATCGAATAAGAAGCTATCTATCTATATTTTACTGCACAAAAGATTTAAATGATCATAAAAATATCAGATGACGCATAAGCGAAATGATTTGTCTGACTGGCTCCATGGTCAATTCTTTCAGGACTCAGAATTACTTGAACAACATGATCCCCAAAAATTTTTTCCTCAGAGGTACATTCCTCTCTCCCTCTTTTTGTTAAGCTTTGCATTATGAATTAATAAAGTATGTCAAGGTCTCTTTCCTTTAACCTTTCTCTCCCCACTTCTATAATTATTGAAAATTCCCAAGTGTGAAAGAAAAAAACTAACAGAAAGACATAGTCTGTTGGGGACTAAGAATAAAAGAGATGGGGAAGGATATATCTATTTACAAACGAAGACACAAGCTAGTCGGATCGCCTGACCATTGGTTATTTTGACAATTGAGCGAGCAATACACTCTAAAATTTATTGGAAAAACTGCCGCTGTATTAGCCGGGAAACCCGTTCTTGACAAATTAAAGATTTTTCGGATGAGCAATGCTAAGAGTAGACGGATGCGGAAGAAGTAGAAGATTCCCGGCAGAAAGATGAAAGTTCGCTGATTACGGTCAGTCGGAGTTGCTAAGTAATGTAAGAGAACTAGTACCGCTTCGGATATCAGCAGTGATGATATCAGATCCTAGTTAAATGAGAATATGATTTTTTTGTAGTATCTTCATGCCGCATAATCTTCCGGTGTTTGCTCAGAACTTCTGGAAATATTTCCGTCTTCATTAGGTAAGTGAAAGTGAATCTCTGAAAGACAAAAAATACCAATTGCCTAGGAAGTAAAAAATAGACCGGCTAGATCTGAATGGCAAATGAAACTTTTTTTTTAAAAGGCATAACAAGGCCTTATCCTGCATCAATGAGATTATTTTCCAGAATTTCTCGCCAACAGTTGCTTCTTCGACAATCACCGAGAAAAATGGTGGGGACAAGGAGGGAAGAAGTCCTACTACTACTACTACTACCCCCCGCTTCTATCAAATAGGATAAATTTGCTATCATTCTTCAAGAGTTTTAGGGGTGGAGGGTATTCATGAAAATTGCTTTCAATAAACACCGTAGAACAACGTTTAATGTAGAGTTTATACTATTAAATTGAAATATCATGTTTTGAACAACTAGGCAATATTCATTTGTCATCTTGCCTAAAGCATGAGTCATCATCTAATACAAAAGAGAGAGAGAATTCATATATGGCTTAGATGAGAGAAAGGAAAAAGAAAGAAGCAATTTTCTCTTGACTAAAATGAATGTGGAGAAATAATGAAAATAAGAGAATGGAAGATTTATGGGGTTTTGCCGGTGTCAGTTATAAAAGAGCTTTTAGGACACCAATTAAATATTTATCCCAAATCAATGTGGTATACAATTTGTACTATTTGATTTTCTTTCATTCTAATAGATTAGTTTTAAACTAAAAAGCTCACAAGCTGCAATAGTCAAATATTTGCTTCAAATCTATGTATTATCTGCTTTTGTTTTGATTATTTAGATAAATGAAATGTGGAATTTTTGTCATTCCAAACTGAACTTATAGTTGCTACCACTTTTTCATCGTGGAATCATAAAAATTAAACAATTATATTAAACTCTTATTTCATTACTAACAATTTTTTCAACAAAATATGTTGAGTGTTCCTCCGAAATTTGCTTAGCATCTGTTACACTGTTTTATATCTGTTACACTTTTCTGATCTTCTCTTCAAATTATTCTTTACAGCAGTGAAATGAGGACAGAATAGTTTGTCGTTCTTTGCATCCCAATAGTTTCCAGCAAAGTCAATTGAAACTATTGAAGTAGAATAATCACAGATTTCATAGAGTTTAATGCTTTGAAATTCAAACTCATGCTGAAGTGACCTTTTGCTAGGAACAATAATCAAGTCATACCTTTTTGAGTTTGAATAAAAATTCATTATGAAGAGAAACTAACAGATATAATAATGATATTATATGGTCATTACAATATTTCTTCGGATGCTACTGCTATGATATTAGAAGACATTTATTTATTCACTATCACCTACATTTAATTCTAAAATAACCCAATCATATACTTGAGATTTAAAAGTCTAAAGGTCTGGCTGCTAATTTTTTTTACAAAATTAAATTATTTTCAAACATCTTGTTATCATCAATATTTCACTAAATTTAACTAACATCCTCAAACAATGAGACTGATCCTATCGCCTTATTAGTAACAAAGCTTGATGACATAGTTTGGTACTGCTGAAAGTCAGAGAATTTTTTATAGTGTGGCAAAGCCTACATCCTAAGATATTTCATCTCTATGCATAACCATAACAAAACATGAAATCATGTCCGAACTTCCGAAAATCAACTAATAAGGAGGACGGATGAAACAAAGATGAAATTTAAGGCGATGTTGATGTCATTCGATATAGATTTTTCTCTGTTTATAGCAGCAGTGCACTTATCAATTCTGCCGTTTTCATTATCCAATCAATTTGGTATTAAATATTATCCGGTAAATTATTTAAATGTTTATTGTGAATTTCAGACTTGACTATCTAAAAATTATTTCTCAATATTTTACGTTATTTATATGCCTCAATACTATGGCAGGATGCGATAGTTTTAATCTAAGAGACTTTATGCCTTTCCTGTCTTCCTAGATCGGAATTAAAACATGTTCTTTCTATTCCGTATTTCCTTCTCTACGATTTCAATGATTCAACATAAAAGAGAAAATTTTTATGGATTTATGAAAATATTACATTCAAAGAGAAAAAAAGGACATGAAACTTGGCGAACAATATAAATTGTACGTTTCCTGAAAATGTTTAACTTATCTTTTTAGTTTGATAGTCAACGGAAAACAAAGTTCTTATTGAATCCAGAAAAAGAAAGCAATATCTTTGAAGGCAGTATAGGACAAGACTATGAAAAGAAATAAACATTTTCATGAAAAAGGAAGATTTCTTATATAATGACATTGTGACAAAGGAAGACTTCCTCCAAGGTTAAACAAAGGAAAAATAGAATATTTGAATATCCATTAAACTAAAAGCAGCTTTCGATTTAATGAGACAGGAAGAAGAGTAATGGTTACCCGAACCAGAAGAAAGGCACTGTCTCGGCGACATGTAAATTGAACAACAGATGTGCGAATAACAGAAAGGACAGAGGAGAGGCAAACCAAATGGTTTCCAATTGCCTTTGTCCTTAAACACTGAAAAACCTGGTGCATGGGGATCCAGCATGTGTTGTAATAGTAATAATAATTAATTAATAATAATAAATAATATTAATAAATAAATAGTTAATAATAAACAAATAAGTGATAAATAATAAATTAATAAAAAAATATTTATAAATTAATAAACTAATAAAAAATAATTATTATTTATAATTAATAATTTAACAATGATAATAATAAATGATAATAATTAATAATAAATATTAATAATAATAATAACAATAACAATAAACAATAATTAATAATTTGATAATAATAATCCGCAAAATTTGGTGGTGAAAAATTACTTAGTAGGATAGTCCAAATATCGAGAAATCAGTTAACAGTCAAAGCGGTACAACGATGACCAATTTTAGGTATGCAGGACGTTAACAGTGATCACTCATTCACTGCGCAATCTGGTAATTTCGGCAGCTTTTTTAAATTTCATTTCAAATGGCATCTTCTTAATTTCTATCAAAACTACAAATTTGGCTGACAATAGTTTCATGCTGACTTCTAAGATGCCGTTGGCAGGGATACAACTGGAGGACACTTTGTTATTTACACGTTTCGTGGTAGGATGACATCGTATATAGATCAAATGACCACGTCATACGAAAGTTTTCAAGGGGTTTATTCTTCGTGACATCACAATAAAATTAACAAATTGATTGTTTAAAGCTAAATTCCTTAAAATCATTCGCAAGCAAATCGGCCCACTTATTGCTTCCGCCAATATTTCCAGGCTATAAGCTTCAAACGTTTGAGTGCCCTCTTAGCAAAACAAAGAAATCTCTTAGCAAAACAAGTAAGAAATCGAAAAATTCTTCAATATTTAATTTCAGGAAATTTAATGTACGTTCCATCCCAGCTAAGGTTTCAGTCTTTGTCACGATGACTGATTTGACGCCGTTTCTTTGGCCACCAACGTAGAAGATCAGGATCAAGAAGTAACTTAGGTGGTCGTCCCATATTAATCGATTTGCAGTGCTCAACAAGCCGTCGTGTCATACGTACAACATGATCACCTTTCCAATACTTGATTAACTGCATTGTTTGTAATGTTGAGATTATATCATCTTCGGCCACCCCAGAAGCAGAACTTAAATCTGATACCTGAAATCGAAAATCAACATTCAGCAGTATGTATCATTCTTTTTTCATTTCTTTCATCTTTTAAAAATCATAACATCAACAGTGCGCAAAATTCTACAATAACATATTTGCCACAGATTTCACGCTCTTACTAGTTAAGATTACTTTTAACTAAGAATGTTGGCAGTTAATTGAAATTAATTAGTAGGTTCAAACTATAGAAATAAAACTTAAACAATCAACTTCGGATTATTCTTACCGTCACATCATCGATATTCAGTCTATCAAGAGCCTCTAATAATATCCACCACCAATAGCTACGGTAACTAACTTTCCCCAAATCGGACAACGGTTTTTCGGGAGTTCCAATTACTCCTTCACGACTGGACAATTCATAACCTGTAACAAATGTAAAAAATTGACTGAACGACCCACATCGTTGATAATACACACACTTAGAAATTAATTCAATTGTAACTTTAAATAGTTAAAAAGAATACAGCAAGACGAAAAGCCGAGAAAACTTACTCAATTGTATGAGCAATTTCCCATAGCCTTTACGTTGAAATGGAGGCAAAACCATAATGCATGCAAGATTGTTTGCAGAGAGCCGCTCTTTAGAAAAGTGACCAACGACATGAGCGCCTACTTCATCAACCTAAATGGGATGACGGTAAAATGGAGTGTACAAAGATTGGATATTAGCAACCTATACCTCGATCTACATACATTGCTGTTATTGATAATTTCGCTATCACAAATATGAAAAAAATGTTAAGGTTAGCACTTGAATTACAATAATCTTTATCAAATAGTAACTTTTAATAAAGCCTCTCAAGTAAAAATAGATTATAACAAATTTTACCTCTAAAATCTAAACTAGTAAAAACTTTACTTACCTCACACAAAACATAAAACAGGAAAGTTTCAACATCAAAAAATAATGTTTTATGATCCAGGAATAATTTCGATAGCAAACAAAGACACTGGCAATAAGCCTAAACAATAAAATAAAATTCATTGATATTATCTACAAACAATTTCAGAGTAAAATAAAAATAAAAACATATTTCTGCCACAAAATATCCACCTTATTCACTTTTCCATCAACTTCATAAACTGATAAATTCCCATCTCGATATATTTCATCGCCTGGAGGTTGTCTTCGATCACAGTAATGTAACTGTAAATGTTCTGTTATAGAAGAGTTAATCTTTTGCAAAAAATAATATATCTCACGAATTCTTCAGTGAGATAAAATAGAAAGAGTAAAAAGAATTCTGACCACATGACAGCAGTATTCCCCGTCGGTTCGCATATAAGCTAAGCAATATTCACATATGTACAATATTGCTGCCTTACTATATTCATCTGGATATGGCGAGACATACCAAGCGTCTATCTCATAATCACCGTAACGTATCTTATCGATATTTTTCACCTTTGTCATCTAAATCAGTTACATAAAATCACAAATATGCTTTTGATGAGAATTGGAAATAAGAATAAAGTATGATTTCTACCAAAAGATTCTGTAATGCCAAATGTTTTGACTAAAATAAGAGAAATTCCGGGAAGCGATACATTAGTATTAATAGATTAGTATTAATAGCCATGGCTAATGGAATAATAGATATTTAATATCTATCTAATATTTTAATATCTATCTAATATCACATCCAATATTTAATCTCAATTTCGAGAAGGAAATTGAGATTTGTCAAGATTATGTGTGAATAAGATGTATGGATATGGACTGCATATGAAGATTACGTATGAATAGACGTATATGGATAAAAATTGATAGAACAAGATCTTAACACAATACATTAGCTAGTAACGATCTAAACAAGCATGGCAAGTAAACAGCCGATCGAAAGATGCAACAAGCTAGCTTATCAGCGAATGGGATAAAGAGCGCAAATCATAAAACACAAATACCTCCGCATGTTCCTTTTCGAGTTTTGCAGTTGTCGCATCCATGTCTTCGTAACTTTTTTGCACATGATTGAATTCTTCATGTATGCGTCGCTGACTTCGAGTTAAAGTTCCACTTTCCAGCGTACCAGACAAAGATGATGGTACGGACTATAAAAATAAATCTATAAGTGCAAATCATCTGCAATGCAGTACGGCCATCAAGTATAAAGTTATTCAACATATAATAAAGATTAGTCAGAAGCATAATAGACAATGTTAGGTCTCATTTTCTAGCTCCAAATTCGATTTATGAAGCTACTTCCATAATAAAAACTGAACAGAAATATTCACGATGTCAATACATCAAATGTTTTATACCAAAACAGAAGTGAAAGCATTTGGATTTGCTCGTTCCACAATACGATTTCTCCCAACCCATTCATCCAGTCGCCTATCCATACCATCGTAATGAACATAATACATCTTACATTGTTCTTTCCTGCAATATAAAAAATCATATAATAAATGAACTGCTAAAAACTAAATTATCAGAATGAAAAAAATAACTTAAATCATTTCATAAAGAATATTGTTATAGCCAGTTATATAAATACCTCTTAAAGAAGCGTAAACAACTTTAGTGGTAACATTCAAACGAACTAAATGTTTATATGAATTCGTATAACTCTACATAGTTCAGTAAAATTCAAAAAGATGGAGAATCCTTGTGGGATTAGTAAAATTATTAAACAATATTCAGCTTCTCAACATTACCTCAATCTGCTTTGTTATTTCCCTTTTCATTGCTGTTAATCATTATTAAAAACAGTATTTCATATACTTCAACTTTTGATTATATTTCTCAGTTTTCTATTGAAGCTTATTTCTCATTCTACAAACCTCGTAGCAATGTCTACTTCCACCGAAACATTTTCACCTGACACATCGTTTAATAGATTTGTGCAAATCTTACAGACATCCATATCATCCTGAAATAATAACTTTCGGTATCCAAAAATTTCTTTCAAAAAATGCAAATGCCAATCTTTAAAGAATCTCTATAAGTAACGCATGTTTTCCGTGAGTCCTACATTAGTCCGTTGTTTCCTTTATATGTAAGTATCCTCATTCATACAACACCTTAAACATCCCTTTATTCATACGAGACAAATTAAGTAATTTACCGATGATAAAGTGGTAGTAATAGTAGCGGTGGTATTGGAAATAGAAGCGGGATATGTGCTCGCTTGTTCATTTTCACGAATTTCCACGACCGTTGCAAGGCAGCGTTCGTCTGTTACACCATTCTTGTTTGGCGCCCGCCGTAGCACAATGAATGCTTCTCCCACTTTTAGTACTGTTGATGGCGTTAACATTTCTGGCGGTGATGCTGCAGGTGGCAATGAACGGTCTTTTTTCGAACGTTTACTCATGTCGACGTATGCTGAAAAAATACCGTTTAGAGCTTTATATAAAGAAGTGTAATTAATTTTGTAAAAAAAGTCGGAAAATGTCTGGTCCATGAAAAAACTCTATTAAAAACATAATAAAAGCGTGAATAAATTACTTAAATGTCAAATGTATAAAAGAATAGTGACCACATTTAGAATCCGAAATCTACTCAGAAAAATTATCCCAAGAATTGGACACAGTCATTTGCTAGCAAATATGTTTACCGCTAATTACTGATATATCTTGGAGTCATACTGATCCAGGGCTTAGTGAAATTTTTTGTTGCCAGTTTTAACTGTTAACTGTAAAGACTAAAGAAGATGACAGAAAATTTCCTGCACGCTATGGACGTATATTCTTCCGTTCATTTTGGATAACAAGAATTCCTAGTCATTAAGAGCGAAGAGAAGCGGGGAATATATTCGAGATTTATTTGCTTCACAGGTTAACTTATCGTATTTAGTATCGTATAAATCAAGATTCTGGTTATTCTCTTTATCATGATTATCCTCTCTTTCTGTGCTCAACTTTTCTGATAGTGCTAAATGTGGTACATCGTTTATTTGGCTATGTAATGGAAGCGTGCGTCGATCTATATATGATGTGCGAAAAACGAGGACAGAGGACGTTATACTGGCGTAAAAACCATGCAAGATGTGAACTATTTTGAAATGTCTAATGCATAAAAAGATAAAAAGAAGCATATATGAAAAGATGGGTTGCAACTACTTAATAACGCACACGCGCTAATCAGAGTGCCACAAGTGTCACGCTATCACGTCTTATACTCAACTTCACCCAAGGAACTCCTTTTCGCATCTCGAATACAAGCCTACTTGAAATCATTTCGAGGACTGGACATAAGTTCACCGCTAATTGCTGATATACCTAGAGGTCGCGCTAATTCAGGACTTAGTAGACAGTTTTTTTGCCGATCTTAATCGTAATGATTAAAGATGGCAAAAACATTCTTTATGATTTAGACATATTTACCTGCCTATCTTGGATGACAAGAATTTCAAATCATTAAAGAGAAGCGAGGAATATATTCGAGACGTGTGTATTTCGCAGATTAACCTTTTTCTAAGGTGGATGAGATGAGCGATACGCTGGAAAATATCAAATCCTTCATTGTACGTTGGTGGACAGCAGTCAATACTGATAGACGACCCAAACCGAATCCGGCGCGAATGGTTACCGTTCAGGAAGTAAGTTAACTTGATCTAAATCAAAGTTTTGTTCCTGTTCATCTGTTATCTTCTTGTGCTCTATTTTCTGATGCTAATATTTCAACTATGATACATGTTTTGTTTGGTCATGTGGCGGAAGCGTCGATTATCAAACCATTCTGTCAATCCACTTATCGATTAGATTTAATTGATAAATCTTGTAAACCAGTTGATATTATCTCCCTTTTTTGGACTTTTTGAAGCTTTTAAAATATCTAATTGCTTACTTCGACAAATATTCGCTGAATCCATGCAAGGATTCCATAATTTACCTCAACTCGAACTTAATGAGACTATTTATGTTATTTTTGATTGTGAACGGTAGTTGAATATAATATGTCAAAAGCTTTACAGTTACCAATGTATCCGGATGAGACACCATATTATAAAGAAGTCGAACAGCTACCTACGCCGATCCAAAAGGAAATGGCTCTATTACGACGAGCCGCTTTACAGCGTTTTGGAGATTTAGGGGTAATTTCATTCGCCATTCTTAACATTTTTTGAAGTGTTGAAGTGATGCAGAATGAAACACAAATAGGTGTTTGAGGAAAGTCAAAAGTAAATTTATGTATTGTGCAATATAAACGCGTGATTTAAATACTGTTCAAGACTTAAACCGAAGACACCAAGAATTTATTTTCTATTCATCTTTCTTTCACCAGTGTCTTTCCAATGTTAGAAAAATTTTATGATATTTCATGCTAAAAAACAAGCATTTTATCTAAGAAATTATAAATAATTATAAAGGATTGCATTTGTCGTTCAAATGAAGAGTTGGAAGTATAAGAATGATGTGGAATCCGCCCAGTTTCATGCATGCTCTCTGTCCCTCTTTCTTTTCAAGAAGACATTTTATACTTTATTCGGGAATGTGCATCTTTCATACAATCGATATAGATAACATTTATAACAGAAGTTTGCAGGAATCCTATCAGAATGCTGAGGAAAAATCGAAAAAGGTTCTTAATTCTGTTCAAGGTAGCTATTTTCAATAATGTATGCGTTCTTTGTCTCCACACCTTATTACATTTGATGAACAGTAACGTATGAAAATTTTCAGACGTTTTCTTGAGCGAATATGCTCAGATAGAAAGATGCATTTAATATGCTTTCACAAGGAGCTTTTTCTCTGATTTCATGCAAGAGAATATGATAGGTCCAATTTGTTAACCTTTCCAGATTGTTTCCAATTGCAGAATTTAGACAATTTTTGCAAGAAGATTATGGAGTGTTGCCAAAAGCTGCTGCAATCACCATTGGTGGTTTTACCGGTTTTTTTCTTGGCATGAGAAAGTTAGTTTTTGATATTATTGTGATTCTAGAAAATCGAGTTATGGAGTTTCAGAATGTCAGCCATTAATTGTTCAAAACTATATTCATTATTAGACATTTGAAACAGTAGCTAGTTATCAGTCAGCTATCAGTGTGATGTTGCTCAGTTCAATATTAATAAGGATGATGAATGTCATATTTTTCCAAATCAACTCTTTAGATCAGTGTTCCGCCAATTTCTGTATTCTGGGATGGGCTTGTTAACAATGACTGCATTTTGTTATCCCTATGAAGCAATAGCTGTCACTCGCACTGCAATTGAGCATGCTAAAATTGCTTGGGATGATTTTGTTCGATGTAGGTTGCTTTTTTATATATATCTTTATTGCTAATATTGAGTTGTCATGCTATTGTGTTAAGTATAATTTGATAATCTGGTTCTGCGTGATAAGCTGCACCTTATATTTTAAGTGCTGTAGTGTAGTGTATGTTCCAATACAGTGAGAAATTCGAAATGCCCAAAGAGATGAGCACAAATAGACCAATCCAAGCCACAAGAATGCTCTTTGTAATATATTCCGAAAATGAGAACTAGTTGAGACATTTAAAGTTTTGCTTCAATTAAAAATAACAGAAAACAAACATTTTAAACTTTTTTGCTCCAACGGATTTATTTTTCTTATTTCTGTACATCTGAAACGCTTTGATAAGCAGAGTCTCGAATAATGACTAGTTTCTAATAATACTAATATGCTTTTACTGTAGATAGTGTTTGCTGTCATTTTTGTTGTCGGAGAGGACAATACATTGAATATGATTATTTCACGAAAGTGACTCAGAGCTCTAAAGCACAAAATATTTCGCTTAGCTGAGTCTTTGGTTAAGTGAAATATTTATTTAGTAGTCATTTAGATATATTATCAATAACATTCATTATTTTCAGCACCCGAACCTCACGTATATTCTCGAGCGGACGAACCTCCCCCATCGCACTGAGAATAATAAAGAGCTTTTTAAGAAGGTATTAAATGCTAGTGTCTTCAAGTGATGTAAAAATAATTATTATAGGTCAGAAGGCATAAGTAAATTTATTGTGCCTATATTTGTAACTGAATATTTCTTTCACTACAGCTATATAATGTTATTTTCTATATTCAAGCTGTTGTGAAGTCCGGGGGAAGTTCTATAAGCTGGTGATAGTAATGATAGTAGGCTGAACAATTCAGCATTCTCATTATCAGCTCTGTGCAGGTCTTATTATAGATATAATTCGGATGATGGCTTTAAATAGGCCATCATAAGGTCATTAAATCGTGTTTTCATTACTTATATTATAGATAAATTAATCCTATGCGAATTTGCTTTCCAGATTTCGTTTCTGAAAATCAGTTTACACGAATGCATGTATGCGTTCCGTCTCTTTCTAAGCAAATACCTTCAAGCTAAAGCACTACTAGAAAAAGTTTCCTAAGAAATAAGAATTAAAGTTAAATGGACGCGTATACGTACACATATATAACCTCTACTGTATCCTAAACAATAAATTGAAAACTAGCAGTAACATTTGTCGTGATACTATGAGAGACAGCAGAAGACGATAATAATCCATTTCTGGGACACATTGCAAATCTTTTTTCGAATGCAGCAAATTTATTAATATGTAATTCAAACAAAAAAGAATTTAGAGGCATCTCTGGTGCCTGACACGAATTCATAAAAAGAAAATCTTCGCTTGCATCTGAACCATGATTATCCGGAAAATTCGTACAATGTCTGGCACTACCTCCCCTATGATTTATATTTTTATACTGGGCGCAGATTTCGAACAGAAATCTTCAGCAAAGGCTTGTTCAGAGTTCATTGGTTTGTCATTGTCAACAGGTGAGGAAAATCAACAAAACTTATTCTACGTTTTTCTTGGTGCGGGTGCGAGAAAACAATAAACGAAGTTGTCCAGAACAGCTCGAAATTTTCATGCAAATAAAACAGAGTGGTACGGGCAAATAATTCTCAGATGCAAGCGAACATTTTTAAAAAAGTTGAGAAACAAAGAACAAAAAATTTAGAAAGCGCTTGGAAGTGTGAATATTTATCAAAACACCAGCTATTAATAACACAATAATGGGATGAAGTATTTCTAAATTATCACTTAATAATATTTTAAAGGAATCTTTAATATGATCAACATGCAACAAATATTAGCTCAAAGCGCTAAAAAACCCGTTGAACGGGCACTCAAGATTTTCTTAGCATGAAAGAATAAACGATGAAAAATTAAGCACATAAAAGGATAGTCTTAACAGTAAGGGCAAGCATAATGATTAGACATCTGGAACGCCGATATTTCAGGTGACTTTTCCCTTCACGCATTGAGCGATTTGCAGTGATAACCTTATGTCATAAAAATAAGCAATTATTGGTAGAATGAATTTTTTTGTTGTAAAATTTTCAAAGTACTTTCGAACACAACACAGTTGAACTTTCAGAATAAAACTGTTAATAACATGATGAATATTTAAAAACTTGGAAGGGCACTAATTAAACGATGCTTTTAAGGTCCATCAGTACAAGCCCTGTACAAAATGAAAGTCTATCCAAGAACATAATACCGGAGAGTAAAATGAATTGTTCCACATCAATTGGTGGTGAATAAGAGATAGAAAGAAGAAGGAAAAAGAAGAGCTATGCAATATATAATAAAACAATTGAAATAGACAAAATTGAAATTTGATAAGTCTCCACGTATAAATTACGGCAAACCAAACAGTAATAGATGTTGGTTTAACCTAAAAGTAAAAAATTGAGAGAAAGAAGATAGGATCTCAATAAATGTGTCAGCTAATTGGTTATTTACTCAATCAGCTTTTTTGAAGTTCTTGATTATGATAAATGAAATTTCACACGAACAGTTTCAACAGAAGAGATGAAAATAAACATATTGTAGGACAAAAATGGCAGGATCTAACGGCAGTACTGTATATTTATTCATATAACTTTCTTCGAATTTTATAAAATAAAAAGTAAAATACTGAAAGAACGATGTGTATGTTGGATGATGTATCCGAAGATATCATACATTGATTTATTTTTTTCACTAATAATTCTTTTATAATCCGACAAACCCACATAAATCATCAATGATTTACAGTATCTTATTCACAAATGACTGATGTGAGACGTTGTCGAATGAGTGCTGTTAAAAAAGAAAAGTAATCTCATCTCAGTTCGCGCCTTGAGGAAGATGGTAAACAGTGTAAATGCAAAGAAGGTCGAATTGAAACCAGAGTAAAAGAGGATTGGAAGGATGAATGTTCCGATAAATTTGCTTTTAAAGAACAGGATACTTCTCAAATACTACTCTGATCCCGAAAGGTTACATTAATTCTTAACAGAATCAGTGTACTGCTTTACAGTGGAAAATAACTGTAAGAACAATGGGAAAACGTACCTAATTTTAGTTTATAGCATCATATTAATTCGATCATCGAAGCAATTCGATATGAATTGAAAAGATTGATACATTCATTCATATCAAGCAAGCTCTTTTCATTCTATACTATTATTATTATTATAAAATTTATATAAAACAATTTTATTATGATATATATAATCCTAGCGTGAAGAAAAGTTAAACTAACTATAGTACCGAATTTTATTTAAAACATCAAAATTTTTTTTGTGAGAAATCTTCTTTTCAGAATTTTACTCCATCAATCTCCCCTAGATAAATGGGAAAAAAGTTCATGAATAAAACTCCTAAGTAAATAAGTAAAGAAGACTAGTAAAGAGAAATGTCCTATCGTTCAACGAATCAGTTAATAAGCACTATTCAGGAAAAAAGAAAGAAATTCAATCTCACTATCCATAACAAACCTTCGATCATATTAAAAATCGTAATTAAGAGATAAGAAACTAAACCCAAATATAAAAATATATTTTAAAAGAAGAGAATGAAAGTTCTTTTTTTTTTAAAACAAATAAATGAAACTTATTTCCTGAGTAATTTTACGTGGACAACCAAGTACCAGCTGTTTTGCTTCTTGAATTCTTTTCTTTTGCTTTTAATTAACATCATTTTCGCTAAAGAAGTACAAAATGTATACAAATACTTGGTTGTCAAATAACAAATGATTGCAATATTTTAATTTAAATTTGATAAATTTAAAATAACTCATTGTTTCTCATAGATTTGCCAATTTCGCAAGGAATTTGATTGGAATTTGTAATTGATGCAGTTATTGATAAATACTATTTTGTTATTACTATTTTATAACGTAGCAGTTATTAGGGTCGTTCACAGACCAGTCGTTCTCGTTCTGCTATTGCCGCGCTACATGTGGTCATAAATGCGTTGGCATTATTCAATGGCCGGATAACCGAATCCCGGTAAATTGCATTTAACGGCAAACCACGTCTGTTTCGATCCACACACCGAATCTTTCGTAAAGGATCTATAAAATTACTTTAAATTCTCACAAAAATAATTACTCTTAAGTAAATCACAGTACCTGCAAAAAAATGAATTTTGAAATAGCAATTGTAACAAGATTTCGCAATGGATTCTATAAAATCACAGATTTCGGTTATATAATTGTTCATGATCTAAAACTAATGTATATTTGGATACATCTGAAGGCATAAATCACAAATTCTCAGAATTCTACCGTCTTTCGAATAAAATTTTGATATTTCATCTCTGCATTATTGATAAGGAAATGGCCCTTTCCTACCAAGTAAAGTGAATCCAAACTGACAGTTATACTACACCAAAATAATACGAAGATCTTGTAGAAATTAATTAAAGTTTCTTCTGTTTTCAAAAAGATAAATTAATTTTTTTAACCAATTTTAATTACTGAACTTAACTTACTTAATCACTTATCAATTACTCAAGCAGTTGCTTATGTCGATCACATAAATTTCCATTTATTGAATCATATTAATTCTATAGAACAAAATACTTCAAATAGAAATGAAAATAGTGTGGGTGAAGAAAAAAGCTCTGTTCACCGAGTAATTTATTGGCGTCGATTAAATTTTAAACTATTGACATTCACTGTTCACTAGCTCCCAATTCCCCGTAATTTTATTTATATCGTGACTATTTGTTCGTAATGCAAAATAGCGAACTCGGGACAAAGAAAAAAATTTCGTCATGCGTATTATGTAAATCGATTTAGACATCAAAAGAATGTCCATTCAAGTTGAAACAAACCTGTTTTGTTATGGATGAGCCATAAAGTGGCCACAAATGTGACGCCAAAAGCGAACGATATGATAGCAATTATAATGACAACGTAGAGTGGGATACCATCTAAATGACATTCTTCTTCCTTCCTTAACGCTTTTTCAACTGCTACGGCACATACTCTTGCACATTTTGAATCTGAAAATAGTGTTATTGTAGTATTAGTGATATGAAACATCAGACTTAATCATCAAGAGTTTTTCTTTTTTCATAAAGTTTGAAAAATTTTGAAAATATAAAAATTTCTCAAACTCCTGATGGAAATGGAAGCTTACCATATACAACATTGACAAGATTATCGTCACTTTCAGCAACTAACTCATCAGAAATGGATGTGTCACCATTATCCAGTGATGGTTCACTAGCATTTGCCAAAAGAATACGGATCGTGGAAGTTGAAGTGACTGTTATTGCCTGCTGTACATAAGGCTCAACCCAAGACGGCAAATGCCGTTTCTCACCGGATGTCGGCGAACAGAAGGATGCTCGAGGACACTATAATACCATCAATTAAATGAATTTAGGAATTTCACACAAATTATTAAAAATATGCCAACTTTCTCCATCCCTAATTAATAATCAATTTTGAATGTCTATTGTGAAGCTTAAGGGATTTCATTAACCATGAAAACAATACTCTTATCTAATTTAAGCTTAATAATTGCTCCAATTATAATTGCAATTATGTCCAATATAAAATCACGCCATTATCAAGAAATATGCTCCAGTGTATCTGATTATCTGATTATATTATAATCAGTGAAATTATAATCTGATTTATTATTCAGATCATCCTAAATATAGGTAAAATGATGACAACATTCCTTCATTTTTTTTTAGGCAATTTTAAGCATGTCCAAAAATTGTGAACTAATCTAAATAACAAGGAAAATTATGATTAATGTCCCAAATTATGATTAATGCCAGGAACCTTATCTCTCTGAATATATCTACCTTACCGATATACAGTACGTCAAACATAAACATATAATAATACATAACACGATGAAACATCACTTAATACTACATATCACAGAACGGCGGTATTTGTCCGGATAGAGAGATATATCGTTTATATAAAACAGCAAATAAGTTTAGCAGGTATACCATCACATGCATCGGACTAACAATAACCGAACTAAATGTTTCGACGACGTTGCAAAAAAGTGACCTCGCCTTTCAGTACATGAAAGAAATAAGTAATCGGCCGTTTGGAAATTTTTTTAGAAAAAAAGAGCACAATGGCCTGCCAATTAATATCAAAAAAAATATCAAACTTTTCTAAAAAAATATACTAAATGGTAATTATATTGCATCTAACAAATGAAAAAAAACCATAGGATTCAATGATTCATGGATAAATCTGAAACGCATATTGTCCTTTGAAGATATGCCTTTCAATCTATGCCACCTATGCCACCCGTTTCTCTTTAGCATCTGTGAGTGATAAAAACACCCAGACAAAAATTATCATAAAAGCAGGCTGAGTGCTTGAAAAATATTCAAACGCCCGTCTGTCATTAATAAGTAGGGCAACTGATGAACTGCCTTGACATTTGTCCTTGTGGGATACTAGAGAAGTGCAATATTGGAGCTGTCAATTCTAAAAAACTCAATATTAGAGCTGTCAATTCTAAAACTCGAAATCTTTTTTTAAAAGAAGGAATTGTAAAGCTTTCAAGACTGAGACCGTACCGGTCGGTGATACTCTAAAAAATTTTACAGATGAATAAAAAACTATCTCGTTTTCTTAAAAAGTTGAAGAAAAAAATTGCTCAGTTTGCGCATTCATTTTGAAGTCTAATAGGCAAAAAAATTTTTAAAGTACAAGGATTTAACCAAATATAAAAAGATGAGCGAGGAGTTTCTTCTATGTGGGGAGTTTCAATACTCAGAAGCATTAAAAACCTTTAATGTAAAAAGGTTGACTTAAACCAAATAAAAAACTTTTTAACCTATTACTTTAGTATTTATTGCAAAAGAACAGATTGCAAGAAAAGTTATGAAGAAAAAAACCTTATCCATTCGCTGACAAAAAAAGAAAAGATGAAATTTTTTCATTTGAATTAAATAAGTGAATTCAATCTGAGGTGCGTACTCCTAAAGACTTAATATCATTCTATGAATGATCACAAATGTGTGCATGCACGTAATTTTCTGGAACCAATTGATTGAATACTGAAATGGTTTAATATATAAGCCAATAAAATGCCAAATATACCACACTAACTGGAAAGAACCATTTCTATTGGTTTCTCCCATTATAATTCGAATTTGTAGGCTACACAAAAAGTAATGATGCAAAAAAATAATTGCACTCATTTCAAACATATACTTCAAAATAAATTTGTTTCAACGAAATTTAAATGAATAAAGAGGCAACAAGCAACGTGCCGTAGGAGTATTTTGAAAGCCATTTAACTTATGACCCGTACAGAAAATCACATCGCAATGAAGCGAAATGCGCCCGTATTCAACTGATTCATCAACTAATGCCGATCTGAAATAGATAATTTGGATTTTCGAGTAAACGGATTGAAACTGCAATAGCACCTTTAATGACACTTTTTTTTAAAACAAGCGAATTTTTTAACAGAAACAGAAAAACTAAAAAAATTTTTCAAAACATTTTTTATATCATTCTATTGAATCAAAAAGAAAATTGCAAAAAACTAACTCATTCAATAACGAAGGGCTAACTAAACTACGGGTAATTGGAATCCTTATTTTAGTCCATTCCGCATAACGACCAGTACCCGTTTTCTGAAATCACAAATTCTGGAAAGTTAAAAACAGGCGACAATAGGATCAAACATTAAATCATTGAGAAGATACACTGAATTACCGAAGAAGGAGAGAGGAACAAAAATTGATAATGAAAGCAGCAGTAACTTACTTGCTCTAAAAATGCTAACACTGAGTCATCGACAGATGGACATCCATCTTCAATAAAATATCTGCAACAAATTTTACAAAAATTAGCAATGTAATTTAGTTTCATAAATCTTTAAAAATTAAAAACAAGTATTAACCTATGCGCTAATTCTACGGAACTCGCTACTTGTCTGTTAGAAGCAGCAGCGGTAGTAGTATCAGTAACTGTAGGAACGGTAATCCAACAACGCAATGGATATGTGTGTAGTCCTGGAAAACTGTTTTTATTATTTGAATCAATCTAGTCAAAAAATTACAAATTATCTTATGATGCGACTATTGCAACACCATAACGAAGCTGATATACTATGAGTATAATGATCTACGAGTGTAATGATTTTGGTATGATTCCAATCCGTTCTTTGCACATGCACACACTTATTTTCTTCAAATAATCGATCTAAACTATCCCGATCGATCTAAAATGACCGAATATTTTGCAACGAGTCAATTCAGAATAAATTGCCTAAACATACGAAACAGAATGTTAAGAAATTTCTACTTTTAATTATTCTTATAGAATATAAATTGTATATAGTGGAAATCATAAAAAGCTTTTTACTTTCTTGCATCCCTTCGAGGGTCGGTTCAATAGCAACATACAAATTACTGCCTAACCGTACAGATACCGGTTTTGCCTGCGCTAAAGACAATGAAGAGTGATGAATGTTAATAAAATCCACAGATGATATTCGGATCGGTTTGCGAGATGTTACCATTCTTGCCTGTAATCCACGAATCATACTAATGTCCTTTTTATCTGTTATTTTTTTTTATTTTTTGGAGAATAAAGAAACAGTAAAAAATTCAGAAAACTTGAAAGAAACGAAGGTGAAGATTTAGTGAAAGATCCTTTCAAATGAAAAAATGAGAAATAAAAATTGACTAATTAATTAACACCCTATAATATCAAGGGATTAAATATATGACGGCTAAATAAGGAGATTTTTGCTAAAAAAGAAACTTTTAGGAATAACCAACATAGATAATAAAGTTTAAACATCTAATTAATTAACATCCTGTCCGTTAGATGGGTAAAATTAAAGTTAGACTTCAGTTCTTTTTCTCCCATAGTACATTATCTGAATCATTTCTTCCAATTCGTTTAATTATTGGGCATAAAATTTTCGAAATAAAAGATGCCGATGTGGAAAAAACTGAGAATTTAAAGAAATTGAAACAATTACTCTTGCAAAGAACTGCTTGCACTAAAACAATACATGCAGTGACGAGAGAAGTAAATTTAGTATGAAAATAATGAAGCAAAAATGTAAAGCGTAAGATAAATTCCTTTAGCAGAGTACCAAAAAACAAAATACATTTAAATTTACTGACTTGCAATTGCAAGTCATTAAAAAATACCTTAACGTGAGATTCCACGAATGGTACCGCGCATTGAATCTCAAACTGTTCGTTCACATTACCAATACCCCAGAAATAAACCTTAAATTTAGCATAAATGTAGAAATATTGAAGAAAATCTCCCTGTACAACTAATTAAGGTTGATTGTTTTAAACAACAAACTATTTTTAAACTATTTTTGTCGAAATTTAGTCCAGAATTTTATCTTTTATTTTCCTTGTAATCAATTTACTGGCTAGCCCAGTTAGTCTCAGTTACAAATAAGCTGTGTATAGTAGCTTCAGAAAACAGTAATAGCATTTTCTGAAATTGTCTGAAGTTTCCATGACATTTTTAAATTTAGATCAAATACAATAAGGTTACATGACATGAAGACAGGAACAAGTTGTGTTTTACAGAAACTAAATTAGAGCGAATGTGAAAAAGCTCCAACCTTGGCAATAAAGTTGAAGCCACCTGCAAAGAACGTCTTCTCTATACCGCATTTACTATAGCCAGCTAATACTACGTGATACTAAAAGATCAATTTTTTTAAAACTTGCAGATCTCTGAAAAAAAAACATAAAGAAGGTTTAAAAGCAAGATGAATTTAATGCATTCTGCTTAAAACTACCAAAGTGCTTACCGAAGAATGTGAGAATTCTTCTGACGATGAATCATACTGATTTTTATAACTCTTATGCTACTTTTAGTTTGCACTTTTGCTAAAAAATAAAATGAAATGATAGCTCACATCTTGTATCATATTAAGCTGTGAACAGCACGAGCCAGATTTATCATCCCCAACACACATCCTACCACGCCAAATCATTTCACGAATTGACTTCGTCATTTCCGGATGTTTTTTTCGGTTGAATGTCAGTTGTACATTGATTCTATAAAATTTATTCATCAACTTCCTTTCCAGTCAGAATTGAAAATTTAACAACAAAATAATAAGTTTACCAAAAAAAGAAACATACAAACGCCATCTTACATTAAAATATTTTATAGTATTTTGAAGAGAGAAAATGAACAAGGTACCTTTCTCGCTGACACACAACACCAAGATACTGCTCGAGCAATTCATGTATCGCAACACCTGACGAATATGATCCTTGAAAAAGAATCATCATCAGATAAACTATTATCACAAAAAAAGGCATGTTATAAAATATTTTCTTCTTTATAAGTCTAAAGCATGAAAAAAAAAATGTAATTCCTAAAAGTGTTACACTCTACAAAGACATATTTCTTAAAAATTAGAAACTCTATTACATTTCCAACAAAACCCGCTTATGGCATCATCAATTAAATGAATTTGTATTTCATTAAAAATCAATACTTTGCATTCTTCACCATTACGAGAAATGCAAATATCGGTGATGTAATTGCATGTTGTCATAGTGGAAAAAAAGCAAAAATAAAGTAGAAATAAACAGAAAACGAACCGGAAACTACTAAAAGGATGAAGAGTGTTGTGTTCAACGACCACATGATGTATTTATGCATATATTTGTGTTAATATTTGTGATGATAGTGCAGCGAAGTTTCCTAGTGGACGACCGATCCAGTTCTCTAATAAAATTTCTTTGTTCTTATTTCCATTATTGCGTTTGTTTAAATAAAAAAAAATAAATTAGAAGAAAGAAAGGGAAATTACCCCTTTATCGTTTCAAGTAGTACCGCCAAATCAATTTTTTTTGAATTAGATTATTATGAAAAGAGATACCACTTGAATGGTGGACTCGTAGTAACGACCCTTGAAAGCAAACAAGAAAAAGTTCTATAATTGCTTTCTATTCGATCTCCGCCAATTCACTTCATTTTCGACGATGTTTGACTTTCTTCTTGACAAAATTTTTCCATTGCTCCGTAATTTAACACCGAAAAGTCCCGAAACAATGGATTTTCCCTTTCATTTTAATACAAAACTTCCAGTGCTACTTCCCTTTTCTTTCTTTCACTTGTTTTTCCTTGACATTTCATTTCTCATTCCCTATCGATTACAATGGCAACAAATAAAGCAATGATAATAGTAATTACGGTATAATAGTATTTAGTATTTACGTAGCAATAACAGTATCGATTGTACTTCGAGTAAAAGTAACACTGACGTTTTAGCTTCATCCATTTTTTGTCTAGCATTTCCTTTTGTTTATTTTCTAAGTTCCTTTTTTCGGTTAACGAAGAAGCGCGAAAGGATGGCAAACTAGAGAGAGGCACAAGTTGGCACCAATGCTAACTATAACTATAGTGCTACTAGCCAATATACCATCAATAATATATTGATATCAAACAAAAAGAACTAACTCTTACTTCTTTCTTCTCCACTGCTAATTTTTGTTGAACGAGATTTGTCTCCTGTGTTAATCAAATTCAACTAATTTTAATATATTCGCCACAATTGGAGAATGGAATAATAAGTAATCGTGGTGCCGAATGTTGTTGCTGTTATTTTGATGCTAGTGATGGTGGTGGTGATAATATTATTACTGTTGCTGTTGCTGCTACTTGTGTCTGCTGGTGTTCAATTATAGAATTTATTACTCCAGTTCCAAGATTTGCTACTCCACCGATTCGTATCGTTAACGTGAGATGTAACGTTGTGGTCGTTTATTGCTATTGCTATAATTCTATTGAAAAAAAAAAAGTTGGTTTTAAGAAATTCGTTTCATATTTCTTTCTTTCGATTGCTTCTCTTGACACTTTCTCAAAAGGGTAGCTTACAGGTTGAAAATTTTTCCCACATAAAGGCAACAGCAACAACAGCGCACGACAATAAATATTGCCGATTTTTGAAAAATACCGTTCTGATCGAATTATTTACACGCACAATTATGTCACGTAAGTTCCCAAAATAATCGGAACTGAAAGAAGAAAAACTTGTAGTTAGTTGATAACGTCGCCATCCTAAATAGACGACACGTAACGTGAAATCCGATTCACCTTGGAAAGTAATGACAGATACTTCTTCATCAGGAGTATATTTTTATCAACAATCTTACAAGGAATATATCTATGAGATGCTTAATCAATCAAACAGTAATTTGATAACATTGCTATAAAGTAGAAAGCAAATGTAAGTGACACTAATAAGGAGAAGAGTGAATAATGAGCAGATAAGGAAGCTAATATGTAAATGAAGAAGGGAGAAAGGTAAATGAAATGCAACACAACATTATGCATAAATAAGTAGATGAAAGAGAGCCGTGTAAATATTTCGAATGAGTCTGGCCAAGCAGTTGCATTCAAATACTCTTCAACTTTGATCTTATTTACTCCTTTTGCACTTCCTTTCGTCACAACGATCATCAATACTAATACATACGAGGCATGTACATGCACACGTAAAATTCTATTATATATACTTCAAACTACAAATTTATAACAAAGTTAAAAAACTTCCTTCTCAAAATGATCAAGTTCGAGAGGAGATAAATGAGATATCTATTGACACTAAAAATTGTTGCAATCATTGATTTGGTGCTTTGATAAGCCAATACACTGTAAGATGCTACTTCTTCATAGACACCGATAATCCATCTCTTCGTTATCAAGACTGGTTATTTTCTTTTTTATAGAAATGAGAGAGAGAGAGAGAGAGGCTTTTTCTGTATGGTATTCGGTGAAATGCTGATGATGAATTTCGATTTAAACCATAGCACTGCACTATCGATATCGTTTGATGAAGAATAATGACATGATATTATGCAAGCTATGAAAAAACCCCTGCATTTCACATCTCAGTACTTGCCATTATAAAGCTCTTTTAAACCGGTATTTAGCCAATTACCAAGCAATTAGTTCGAGAGATCACGAAGCATTAAAATTAATTCAGTCAGACAATTCTCCTGCATTTAATTCGATTGTTTTACTAATAGCCATTGAAAAAAAAGGAATAAAAAGATTCTGCAGCAAAATGTTCAAAACAAATAACGATAGGAAAAGTAAGACCACTGTCAACGAAAAAAGGAAAGAAGCTCTGAATCTGAATCGATAGATCAAAAAATATGTCTTCGACATCATCATATTGGTTTAATCATGATGACAAATATACGAAGCTAAATGCTATTTTTGAACGGCTGCAACAATTGTTGAAATTTTTATCAATCAATCAGTTCATTTTGTAGCGTACTATAAGATTGATAACCAGTAGCAACCAAAGATAGAAAGATTTCTTCGTTCTATATGTAAACAAAATTCCTTCCATTCTTCCCTCTTTTTTATTATAGAAATAGTTTAAAGTAATAGACGAAGTTGAACATGCTGAAGTTTAAATCCAATACAGTTATTACCACTAACAATACTAAAGGTCATAACTTGTCTAAGCCCTCTAACCCTGATTTACTTTTAGTGGATAAGAAGAAAGGACAGATACGACCTATATGGAATTCCGCGGTTGCATCTCCTCCAATCTCATGATTAGGACAGTATTTTCTTACACAGATAATACCTTCGAATATAAATCATCTAAAATGAAAATAGTACATTTGAGAAAGATTGTAAACAAACCACTAGTCGGCAAGTTGTATAGTGTGAGGGTGAGGGAGAGGGAGAGGGAACGAGACTGACCCTTTGCTTTTGCACTTATCGTAATTCTTCATCAATAACAATTTGTTTGAATAAATCAGCTATACAAGTCTAGACTTTGTTTACTACTTGATGAATGTTATGCTAGATAGGTAATTCAGGATTTGAACCGGTAAGAGAAATGAGTAAGCAAGAGAAAAATGATAGGAAGGACATAAAATGAATTCAGCCTGTAACATTCACAGTCTAATGCTAGACGATTCGTCTGAAAGTTTGTTTGGTCTGGGAGGAAAACCGCTTCAACATGAATGCTGCTACTGCTACTGCTACTGCTACTGCTTCTTTTCTTACAAAATGCCATTCTGAATCAATATAATATTCCACTACTACATTTCTTCTCCTCTCTTTCCCAAAAAAGATATAACTAAGTGCTGCATCAAAAATCATCCCATTATTTACAGGGAGAGAGATAGATAGAGAGAGGGAGAGAGAGAGAGAGAAGCAAATAAGGAAGCATTTAACAATCTTGTAAACTTTTTTTAGCAAATTAAAATCTTTCATCATCATTAGCCAGCTCTCCTTTCTGTTACCACTTACGCTTACGCACTAATGATGCTTTCAGAGATAACATCAACTTTCAGTCTTAATTCCCTTGAGAATCATTGATTACGCCGATTATTTTACTCCAACAGTTGCCCTCCTTAATCACTCCATTTCAGAAGGAAAAAATATAAGCTCTTCTGCGCTTTAATTCACATGTAATTTCACTTTGCTAGCAATACCTAAATAGCAGATTAATGATGAAATATCCGGATTTGATCAGAATATTTTATTGCAGAGTAGATAGTGATAAACTCTGGTTAAAATCCAAGCTCTACATGCATAAATCCAAACTGACCAGTCCAGTATCTGATGATTCTGCTTGTTGGCATTACTTATATAATTGAAGAAAAAAAATGAGCTGCATTCTGGAATAAGTTGCAGTTTTGACGAAAATTCAAAATTACACCCAATGGCAGACGTATGAAGTTTTATGAAACTGGGACAATGCCGACAAACATACCCACCCAATATCGTCCCATTTTTACCAACATCATTTGTCACCGACATAATTGTCACCCTCCGATCCGATCCGATTCGATTCGATCCGGTCTGAGACGACAACGATAATGACGACGACGACATCAATTGCTTTTTCTTCCTCTCGTTGTATATCTCATTTCTATCTAATAGTAAACCAAAGTAACAGAAGCATCCTTTTTGTTTGTCTCCTCGTATTGAAAATGTTTTCCCTCAATCTTTCTCCTTTTCTTACTGTCTCTATATTCCTCTCTCTCTCTCTCTCTTTCTTATAATGTGAATGAGATATTTGTGTGTTTATGTCAAGAAATTATTTATAGAATGGGAATGAGACTAGCCGTCGGCGACAGTTTGACATTACACAGACAGACGGACACACACGCACGCGTCATCAGACAGACAGACGAACACTTTTGCATCTGAAGGCGCAAATGGCATATTATTGTCTGTAGAGGAGAAAGAAGAAGCAGGGGATCGGGGAAAGCTTGATTAGCAAGAAGGTAAGCAGTGCTGCTACTTAGCGCAGGAAGATCACTTTGTTCCTGTTTACCGCCACGTGTCATTCTACTTAGGGGACGTAAGCATCTATGCAGATTGCAACAATATCAGTTAAGCAAATTATCTTTCACCTTTCTGATGATTTCGGAGATGTTTAATTAAATTATAGGAAAAAGGAAGATAAATTAAATATCCCAACCATACATTTTCGCTTACAAAACATCCAAGTGGTTTGCTAACAATCTGAATTAAGCATTTAGATTAGAAACTTTGTCGATATATAATAACGCTTGTAAACTGCGCCACTAATATGGAATGGAAGTACTCTATATTATAATGAGAAAAGCTATCATGCAAACATATAAGTTAAATAAACTGCGAGAAAT